GAGCCTGGGCAGCTCATGGGGCTGCAGAAACCCCGGGGCACTTACAAAAACAAAAAAAGCAAACTCCCCCTAAAAGCTGGAGCCTGAATTTTCAGTGCAGGAAGCATTTGTATTTCACGGCAGTGACTCAATATCCTCTCCAGTGCGGGCGGATGCCGACGGAGAGGCTTTGTCTCAGCAGGGCTGGGAAGGCGACGGGGCCGGGGCAGCGCAGGGCACCACGGTGACAATGACAGATGGCACCAGTGCCTCCCAGTGCTGCTGCAGCTCCAGCAGCATGGAGGAGCTCTGTGTCTTTCCAAATGAAGAGAAATTCACAGCTGTAGCTGTATGGCAGCATTCACAAAAACCCTCATACTGGGTCCCCTTTTGGGAAGGGGAGCAAGGGGAGCGTTCACCCCAAGGAGCAGCTCCCGCTGACCACCGGGGCCAGCCGAACAGTGTGGGGCAGTTAGGGGACAGTGACAAGGAACAGGAGCTATTTCTGCTCTGCGACCAGATATATTAGAGGTTGCTTTAAAGAAATTTCCTGTTTATGCAGACAAAGGCTGCTTGGGGACAATGAGCAGCGATGCTCGTTGGCAGGAGAGTCGGGCAGCAATCAGCGACCGGACCGCAACGCTGCCGTGCTGGAACAGCCCTCAGCGCCGGTGCTGAAAAGCCTGGCTTCCAGCGAGCACGACTTTGAGTATCCAGAGTTCAGACGAGGACACGACAGCAGCCGGCTACATGATTTGCTGAGCCCCGTTAGGAGCTGGAAAATTACAAGGGCTCGGCTGGGTTGCAGATAAGGGCGCGCACAGAACCGTGCCCGCTGCGACTGCTGGGCATGGTGCTGTGCTGCCCGGTGGGCACGGTGCTGTGCTGCCTGGTGGCTGGGCAGGTCAGGAGGGGTGAAGCAGAGCTTTTTGCAGCTCCCCAGAAGCAGGAGGAGCCGTTTGACAGTCCTGCTACTGAGCAGTAATAAACGGTGCTACAATGTGTGGTTAAAAGCACTCAGCGTACGGATGTGTGAGCCCATTTCAGTGCAAGTCACTGTAATTGGTAATAGAGATATTAAAAAAAAAGGTACTGCAGACAATTCCCAATTCATTCTCAAGACTGCTGTCAACATTTCTTCAAAACAGGTCAAATTTACTACAAATTCTGGAAAGGAAGCTGGGTTGTAACCCAGTTATTTTGTGTTTGTTTGCACTATTTCCAAACGATTCCTTCTGCACCGCCATCCACAACAGTTGCACCAATTTAAAGGCCAATCTCAGCCAAATGCTTTGTCATCAGCAGGGCTTCTGTGCTGACGTCTAAGCATGCCTGCTCCTGAACTGGCATCTAAATTGGTTCTCGGTGTCAGACAGACATCAGCAACCCTCACGATATGAGACGAGGAGGACATTTCATTGAATTCCCTGCCCCTGAACAAGGAGCACTGACTGCAGTTTGCTTTCAGCTGGCCTTGGGAAGCCCTGCCTGACAAACCAGGGTGGCACCAGCCAGCTGAGGCCACAAACCCTCTGCTCTGTGAGCAGGAGTGGCCGTGGATGCTCCCCTGGAATGAAGCACGGAGGAACGAGCACCCGGGGCTGGTGCGCTCTGACCTGCTGCGTGTCTGCTGCTCACCGAGCGGGTGCAGCGGGTGAGCTCAGGCAGCTGCTTCCCCGAGATCTGTGCTGGTCACACCTGCAGCACCTGCCGGAGGTGATCAGCAGGTATGTGCAGCGCTGGTGTCATGCGGGACAAACCCAACCCGCAGTGCCCTGCGCCCCGTGGGACACCGCTGCTGAGCTGCCCAGGAGGACAGAGGGGCTCGTCTCGTCCCCAGCAGCCACCAAAACTCACCCCCGGGGTAGCTGGTAATTGCAATTCAAGGCCTGATTCAATTCTGATCACTGGGCTTGACCCCCTGGCTGAGGCTCTGCCTTGGCCCTCCAGGCACAATGGGATCCATCGGGTATCGGGGTCGGAGGTGGGAGTGCCATCACCCACTGAGAAGATGCAACAGGCGTCTGGGGAGAGAAACTCTGCAGCCACCCAAGCTGGAGAGGTTCAGTGGAGCTCAGGGAGCTGCAGCAGTGGGAGCAAGAGTAGGATTCAGCCACGGAGGCATTGGCACAGAGCAGCAGCATCACAGACTGCCTGCTTGGAGGGCTGGGGACCAGAATCCAGCCTTGTCCCAGCTACGGCAAGGTGCTTGGGCTCGGAGGCAGTGCCCGTTTATTGGAGCTGAAGCACTGCAGGAGACATTTATCAGCCTTTTCACATCGTGTCGCTTGCCAGATCCTTCAGATGTGCTGGATGCCATCAGCAGGGGTCCCTGCACAGCCCCGGGGGGCCCCAGGAGCCACCCCAGCAGCGCAGGGTCCCCACTGCTGGCTGGGAGGTGCTGGCAGCACTGGGGCTCAGCCCATGGATGCCATCTGCCGTTCAGACAGCACTGAGAGGAGGAAGGGAAACCACCCAGCACTGCTCAGCCTGAACATGCATAATGCTGGCTCCCAGTCAAACCAACCCCACAAACGTCGGGTGCCGCTGATTCACCTCCCCGCTCCCCAGCCTCGGCGCACGGTCACCTCTCCGTCACCTGGAGGGCAGGCACGGCTCTGCTGTCAACCAAAAGCAGGGGATCTCCTGCAGCCTCCCCTCTCCCGCAGCAGTAGGAGCTGCAGGACTCACGGTGCCGGTGTGAGAACCACCGGGGGAGAGCCGTCATCCTCCCACTCGTGTCTGCCAGCAGGCTGGAAGCAGCGAACGCTGCCGTCGAGCTGCAGCGGTACTGGGAAGGCTTGGAGGATTTCCCCTGCTCCCGGAGGGAATCTCAACCCACGGGAAGGGGCCTGGGATTTCCCACAGCCAAGAGGAGCCAGGGAAGGGATGCTTGTTCTCGGAGGAGGCTGGCACGAAGGTGGCTGTTGCTGGAGTCCCACGGTGGCTTTAAATAACCCAGTGCTCAGCAGCCTCAGAGCCTGCCTTGCACAAAGCTGGGTCCCCCCATCCCCACAGCCCTGATGATGAGCCCCAGGGAAGGCCAGCAGCAGCAGAGGAGCCCAGGAGGGGCTGGGGGCAGGAGTGGGGTTGACAGAGCCACTTTTGGGGTGCAATGCAAGCGCTGCGGATGGGCAGGACACTCATCTCCATCTCTGCCATCGGGTCACTTTCGCTTGGGGTTGCTCACACAGCATGCGTAATGTCTGGGGTGGAGGCTCATACAGCTTGGCTTGAAATAATTCACGATGAGTTTGACACCCCAGGTGGGTCCCATACAAGGGGCTGAGCACTGGCAGAGCTTGAGGACCCCGTGGCTGTGCTGTGGGACGAGGCTGGACCTCGGGCACCAAAAACTGACCCAGCGGGGCCGCACCGAGGTGATGCTGCCCCACAGGCAGAGCCCAGCACAGGGACAGGTCACCCCGAGCTCTCACCCTAACTCCTGCCACTGATTACGGATCCCTCTTGTCTCACCTTCCTGCTGCTGGTGCCTCTCCGAGCTCACACAGTGCTGGTAGGCAGCGAGCGGTGCTAGCACAAGGGGAAAAAAAAAAATCAAGCCACCAGCTGCAGAGGTCCCTGGGTGGGCGTTAGCTGGAGCTTGGCACAGCGGAGATGTGTGGGAAGTGTCTGAAACCTCGGCAGCTCCCTGCCTGGGCACAGCCCGTGGGGAAAAGTGCACCCATGTGGGAGCAGAGCCCTGTGCAGCTCTGGGGATGTGCTTGGGGTCGGTTTGGGAACCAGAGCTTGGGCTTCACGACAAAGGAGGCTGCCCTGCACCAGCTCCTTGCTCTGCTGCCAGCTCGGAGAGCTCCTTCCCTCCCTCTCTGAATGCTCGGCACATCTCCAGCTCTGACAACCGACCGGCTCCCCCCCGCCTCGTCCCCAGCCCCTGACACCTCTTCATTAAGTCCTGCAGCGGGTTTATTCCCACGACGCTGCTTTGTCTGCCTCGCTCCGCAGCCTTTCTGGGAGGGGGGGAGAAAGCGAAGGATCAGCCCCCAGCTGTGCTGCAGCCAGACAAAGGCGGGGGATTCCTCCTCCCCTTGCTCCAGCCTCACAAAGGCACCGGACCTGAGCCTCAGCCAGCGATAACCGGGGCTGGTGCGGGAGCAGGGGAGCAGGGCGAAGGCTCCCTCCCTTCCTCCAAGCCCCCTCTCCTCCAATTTTCACAGCTTTAGGGATGTTTCGTGGGGTCAGGAGGCAGCACCCTGGGGATGCACTCATGGGGGTGCTCTGGGCTCCTTCCCAGCCTGGACGGAGCCGCACGTCGAGGCTCAGCTCCCTCGCTGGGGTTTGTGTTTGCAGCCTCCCCGACGGGAACGGGGCGGCAGCACCATGGATGGGAACATGACAGGGGACAGGCTGGTTGCACTTCGGCAGAGACAAGCAGGTGGGATGTAAATAATTAGCGAGCAGGTTGTTCACTCTGCAGTCGGTGCTGTTCCCCTTTTATCTCTGTGCCACGGCGCTTGGAGATCAGAGAGGGAGAGGGCTTGGAGCTGACAGCGCCGTGCTTCAAACGCATCCCTCGCTTTGCTGCTTCCCAGCAGAGCCCCAGCACCCACGGCAGGGCCCAGGGGGACAGCAGCCAGGGGACACCGGGGGCACAGACAGCCCTGACCCCTGCCCTTGTCCCCAGGGGGCTCAGGGCTGGGAGGCAGCCCCGGCGCCACGGCAGCGGCAGCCGCACGGTGTCCCCCGCGCTCTGTGCTGCCTGCAGAGCCTGTGCCAGGCAGGGTCATCCCCAGGACCCCCACGATGCTCTCAGGTCAGGAACTGTCCCCAGAGAGGGATGGGGCATGCTGGAAATAGCAAGGGATGCCCAAGCAGGGATGCATCCCTGGAAATATCAAGGGATGTCCAAGAAGGGACGTGCCCCTGGAAATGCCAAGGGATGCCCAAGCAGGGACGTGTTGACCTCAGCCACAGCTGGCCCCGTCTCCCCCTTTTTAGCCCTGAATCCCCCCTCGTCACCTAATCACGGCAGAGGGTCCTTAGCACAGACCGGGCTCATCTGAGAGCTCTTCTGGAGACAGCTTTTAATGAGGCAGCTGCTACAAGCTGGAAGTGTATCCCGGTGGCTCGAGCCCTCCCTCCAACTGCCCGGGAAGGATGAACCCAAAGAGGGAGCGGTGCCTGGGGGCTGCTGGCTGTGGGGCCTGGGTTTTTTTGTCCTCACCCCTGGAACAAGGCTGTCACCAAAGCCACTGCCTGGCCCCGGGGGCAGGAGAGGGCTCCAGCTCCAGCAGCAGGGCTCGGTTCTGCTCCTTTCTCTCAGGAGCGAACAGCAGATCCCAAATCACTGGAGGAGCCAAAATCCAGGCTGGAACAGAGCAGGTTGAGGCCACCTCTCCGTGAACCCCTGCGAAGGCGTGTTAGTGCCATTCCTGTGCCAAAGGTAAGGGCCAGCCTCTTGCCAAAGCAGTCCTTTGGGCATTTCGCCCTCCCAGGAGCACTGGCAGCCCCGTGCTCCGGCTCCTGGCAAAGTGACAGTGAAATGCTACGGGTGCGCAGGGAAAGCCTTGCTACGAAGGCAAAAGAACGATCCCCTCAGCCTGGCTGCGGGTCCAGGGTTTTCCTCGCTGCAAACCGAGGGGATCTGTGCAGGGAAGCACGCGCAGACCCCAGGGTGCTCCGAGGGCATCGCGTCCCTTCTCCCTGAACCACTGTGGACCTGGCTGGGTTCTCCTGATCCCCAAACACGTCGCCTTCGTGGTGGGTCAGGGTGGCAGTGGGGAGATGCTTGCCCAGAGCCCTTTCTGCTGGCAGGACACGGCACACACCAGTGCTGCGAGCGGTCCCTTCACCTGGATTTCCCCACGGGGCTCTGCAGATGACCAAGGGGGACCCTGGCCAAAATCTCCTTCCCTCTGCAGGGCGCAAACAGCAGCACCCAGGAGGGATGGGAGCAGCAGCTTCAGAGCAAGGCTGGTGTCAGCCTCCAGCAGGCTCCTGGGGCGGCTCAGGCGATGCTCACGCAGCTCAGCACCACCAGGAGCCGGCCCAGCACCAGCAGGGAGCGGGGTCCCCAAATCGGGGCAGGGCTCTGTTAGGAATCGGAGACGCAGAGGGCTTCCACCGCGTTGCTCAGCCCCTGGCTCACCCCGCCGACCGCCAGCAGGCAGTTCCTGACCACGATGCTGGAGCAGGCGCAGCGCGGGGTGGGCATCGGGGGCAGGCTCTCCCACTTGTTCTTCTCGGGGTGGAAGGCCTCCGCCGACTCCAGGACGGTCGGCTGGTTCCCTGGGGACACAAAGAGAGGGGGGAAGCACCGGCCAGCATCCCGAAATCTGTACCCCGAAGCCTATCCCCTTATGGGGTCCTTTTCCCCTGCTCCCCGCTCGGTAACGACACCCCCCAACCCCCAAGTGTCACCGCTGCCCCCAGCGCCTCACCTAGCCCCCCAGCCACGACGACTCTGCCTTTCAGGTAGCCGGCCACGAAGTCTGCTCGCCTTTTCTTCAGGTAGAAGGAGCGCTCCATCTTCATCCAGCCGCCTGGGACGGGACAGACGGGCATGGCAGAGCCACTGATCCTTGGGAACCCCCCCGATTCCCGAGCCTCCCACCTCCCTGTGGACGTGCAGTTGCACCTCGGGGTACCAAAACCCCGTGACACGGTGCTCAGCTTCCTCACCACCTTGCCAGGGAGGGAGCTGCCGAACCCAGCAGCTGCTGAACCCCTCTGGCCCATGTTTTTTTTTTCCCTGTCTTCCTTCTCTCGTTATCCCAGACTGCAGACGGGGTTCAACGCCCAAAACACTCAGCAGATGAGAGGTTCTGCTCTCCTCCCAACCCCAAACCCCCACCGCCTGCCTCCCACCCGGGACAGCCCCACCTTGCTCGATGTCAAACACGTCCACGGTCCTCATGAATTTGGGCTGCCGGTAGAGCCGGCCCTGCCGCAGGCCCCCGAGGCTGAAGAGTTTGTCCTCCGTGGGCACGAAGCTGGAGAAGGCCCTTTTGTTGGGGATGTTGGGAAACTTGGTCCACGATCGGGTCTCGGTGTCGAACACCTCGAAGGCGTTGATGGCGTACTTGGACTGCCTCCCGCCTGGGTGAGGGGTTGGGAAGAAAAGGGATGAAAGGAATGGGAATGGGAATGGGAATGGGAATGGGAATGGGAATGGGAATGGGAATGGGAATGGGAATGGGAATGGGAAGGAAGGAAGGGATGGTTGGCTTGGCCAACGGCACCAGCAGGACCCCGGGGATGCTCCTGGGGCAGGCTGAGAGCAAGCGAGCTGCCCGCTGATGCCATCCTCACGTCCTAAATCACCTGGAATGAGGGCTGCTGAGCCTGGCACCTTGTCCCCCTCGCACTCCCTCTCTTTGCGCTGCAGCTTGATGAAATTAAAGCACTTCATTTCCCCGTGCATCACACCCGCCGCTTCCCTCCGTGCCGGCAGCCGCGGGCAGGGAGTGCAGGCAGGTGTTTGGTATGCGCCCGTTTAATCAAGACAAACGCACAGCAGAGAAGGGCTGGGCGCTGGGGGAGCCTTTGCAATTCAGATGAGTTCAGCACCGGCCCCGCTCCCGACGGAGCAGGAGAGCCAAGGCAGCTGCCACCGCGGCCGCCAAGGACCTGCTTTATTCTCCCAGCGATCAGAGGCAAAGGAGAGCAGCTGTTCTCCGCTCGGATGCTCCCCGTGCCTCTGAAAGCAGAGCCTGTGCTCGCTGCTGGGCCCCCAGACTGTTTGCTAGCAGCAAACAAACAGCAAAATAGATCAAAAGAGCCTTTTTCTGGTAGCACCCTAAAGACAGCCGGTGCTGCCTGGTGGTTTGAGCCGTTGGGGCTGCTGGGTTGATCCCAGCTCTGTGCGTTTGGCTGTGAGCTAACGGCAACGCTTCCCTGCCGTGGTTCCCCTTTCTGTAAGGCTGAGGAAAACTGCTCCCTGTAACGGGCTTGGTCCTGCACTCCCCAGAGACAGCGGGACCTTCCCTGTCAAAGGCTGACTCTGGAAGGCGAGCAGTTCTTGGGCGATGTAGCACGGACAGAAGTGGTTTCACTCAGTCCCAGGATTGCAAACGGAGCAGGGAAACAAAGGGGGGCATCACCCTGGCACGGAGCTGCTGCAGGATCTCTGAGCTCCTGGGGAATTCAAGGCACGTGGGCTCTCTCTAGTGCTTGCTGCGGAGGTGTGAACACAAACCCCGAGCCCACACCAGCCCCACGTAGATCTTACCCAGCACGTAGATCTTGGTGCCTCGCAGGAAGGAGGTGGCCGCGTACCTGGGTGTGGGCATGGCCGCCAGTGACACCCAGATGTCCTTGAGCATGTCGTAGTGCTGCAGGTAGTTGTGCGGCCGCAGGTCGCACCCCATCCCTCCGGCCGCATAGACTCTGTAGTCTGGACAGGGCCAAGAAGCAAAAAAAAAAAAAAAAGCACAAAATTATTATATTGGTTTGAAACAGCCCCGTGCAAGTGTACACATCGTCACACCATGCCCCCAACCCCACTGGGACTTGCTCACGGGACTCCTCATCCCCTCCCACAGCACCCAGAGCCCTGCTCCTGGCACAGCCCCTTGGAGGGGACAGGGACACGGAGCCGAGGATGGCGTTGGCACCCCTGGGTGCTGTGACAGTGCTTGGGGTGCAGGGAGGGTGGGAGCCGCAGGGCCCTTTGCTCTCGAGCCTTTGGGCAGGAGCAGGCAGGTGTAAGCCTGCGTCCCCTTCCCTTTGGTAACATCATTTCTCCCTTTCTTTCTTTGCCCCACACACCCAACGGGGGGAGGTTACAGCACTGCAGCAAACCCAGCACCTCTCTGCTGCTGCCTTCACCCCACGAGCTCTGGGTCAGGATGTGACCCAAACTGGAAGGGCTGGAGCCCAAATACCACACTCAAGCTGCCGGTTCCTCTCTGAGTTGGCCACGTCAGCAGCAAAGTTGGCTCCCCAGAACAAAACCCTACTGGCCACAGCACCCACATTATCTCCTTCAGCAAGCACGGCACCCTACAAAGCTCAGGAGATAGCGACAGTGGCCCTACAACAAAGCAGCTGGAAAAGCAGAGACCCAGCGCACGGCTGGAGGATTTGGGGAGCTATTTCTGCTCCCGGCCCCACACACTGGATTGGCCCCTCCATATCGGTCAATAGGCAAGCTCAGAGAGAAAATCACCTCCAAGATGGTAAATATTATTTTTAAATAATCCTTGACAGCAGCTTTCAAAGCCGCTTAAGCAAACAAACGGAGCAGCTTGCGAAGAGACTGCCCAGAGATTGGGCTGGTGACCCAGGAGCGCCGGGAAGCTGCCTGGCCTCAAAGCACGGCACAAGGCGCTAAAGGAAATCAATGCTCCACATCTCTGCTTATAAATTAAAAAAAAAATGAGATGGGCTGATAAAGGCAGAGCCCTGCAGGCATTTAGCAGCGTGTGTTTAAGGCTGTGGTTAAGCTCACAGAGGGGAGCTGGCAGGAGCCCCCAGGAGCCCAGGTGCTTCCCTTTCTGGTGCACTGATCTGAGCCCACCGCTACGAAGCTGACCCCTCTGCCTGGTTCTGGGTCTGGACCAGAGACGTGTCCTCAGGTTAAAGCTGGTTTACAGCTCGGAGACCTGCACGTCTCCAGCTCCACAGCTCAGCCTGGGGTCTCCCAGCTCTGTGCACCCGCTCAGCTCCCCCCCAGTCTGGGACTTGGGCAGAACTAGACCTGAACTGGCTGCAAAGCCCTGGAGGAGTTCAGCTCCAGACCCTGGAGCTTGGACCTGCCCAAAATCCAGCCAGCTACCTGCATGAAATCCAGCCAGCTACCTGCACTTGTGGCTCCGGGGCAGAGCTGAGCACCGCATTAGGCACCAAGAACAGCCTGCTGCCTTCAGCAGGTGGGATTTAACACATGGGTCTCAACCTCTGCCAGCACAGAAAAGGTTTTGGGGGAAAAACACAACCCTGTGGCACTGCCCAGAGAGCTTCTGGGCCTGGTGCAAGGAGGGATGCTGACCCCCCCCAGCAGCCACCCCCCCAGAACACATCCAGAACCAACCCCCCTTGCCTTTTGCCGTCACCGAGATGCCCATGGCCGCTTCCCTCAGCGAGTTCCTCTTCTTCCACTTGCCCTCGTCCACGTTGTACATCTCCACTATCTTCAGCGGCGTCTGGTTCACGCCGACCCCCCCTATCACCATGATCCTCTTGCCCAAGGTGGCCACCGCCACCCCGGCCCTGGCCGTGGGCATGGGGGGCAGCGCCGTCCACTGGTCGGCCTCGGGGGAGTAGACCTCGAAGCAGTCCATGGGGACCCCGTTGTCATCGCAGCCCCCGATGGCAAACACTTGCCCGCCAGCCTCCACCAGGGTGGAGTAGACCCTGCGGCTGGGCAGCGGGGCGAGGGTTTTCCACTGGAAATCTCTGCTGTTGGCGACCTCCATGGCACCAGCATGGGTTCCCTGCCCGCGGGGAGGTGCCTAGGCTGCAAAACAGAGTGGAGAGGTGCAGAGGCATGAAGTGTGGTCACCATCCTTCCCCTGACAGAGCTGCAGGCAGCCGGGAGCAGAGCAAAGCTCCCCAAAACCACCGCATCTGCACCATAGCCCCTCCATCCCCCCGGCACGGCGCGGCACCCCGCGGTACCTTTCAGTGCGTCTCCATTGATCCTGCAGCTCCCGGTCTGCCTCAGCAGCTCACGCAGAGAACGAGCCTAAAAATAAAACAAAACAAAAGGGGGGAGAAAAAAAAAAAAAGGCAAGGGAGGTTGGAGTCAGTTTGTGATCCTGCTCCCTGAGCATCCCCGCCCCCAAGCGACGCTCAAGCTGAGGAGGCTGCAAGCTGTCTGCTCACTTCCTCGGCTGCCTTCATGCCTGCTCGGGAACTTTTCCTTGCGTCCTCCTTTTCTCTGACCTGATTTCTCCTCCTGACCCTTGGCTACGTCTGCCCACACACGCTGGGACACCCTGCTCCTGCCCCCACCCCGGCTGTGAACAGCGACCACCAGCGCTGACCCCCCCCAGCCCTGACCGGGGTCCTGCCAGCAGCACCAGGGCAGAGGCACCAGCCCTGATGCACACCTTTTTATTTTCTCCCTCTTCTCCCTTGGAACGGCCGTTAAGCGATGCAGATGAGATTAATTAGTGCGGGAAAGCAGAGAGAGAGCAAACGGGAGGGAACAAAGGCAGCTGCTCGCGCGGCGTGGCAGAAGGTGCATCCTGCACCGAGCATCTCCACCTTGGATGTGCAACCAGCGTGGGCCAGAAACTGCCCTTCAGACACCGGAGGGGTTGTGTTCACCCTGTTTTAATCTCTCCTGGCATACACATCTGGGGACAGGAGGGTAGGAGCTTGCTGACACCGCAGACACACTCCTGGCAGGGCATTTAGACACTGTCCAAGCATCTTGCCCCAGCACAGCACAGCCCAGACCCCTCCCCACACTGCTGCGCTCTAGGTCGGTGCTGTTCCCTCTCTGTCCCCTTTGCAGACCCCTTTTGAGACTTTCCCTGAGGATGCTGCAGCCCCACGGAGCCCGTCCCTGCTGACAGGAGCTGCCCGGTGGTGGAGCAGGGCTGGCTGCCCCCGTTTCTGCAGCCCGGGGTCTGGAAGCCCCTGGAGCTGATGTTTGTTCCCAAACCCTCTTTTCTGCCTCCTGGCTGAGAGCCAGCAGACCTGCTGGGGGGCATTTCGTATTTATTCTGACACAGCACGGTGGATGGGCTACAAAGCAACTTGGACTCTCCCAGCTAAGATACTTAAGCCACAAATTGTTATGGTTCTCTTTTTTTTGGGGGGGGCAGACTCCGTTCTCCCACAAGAGACAGCCAGACCCGTCTCCTACTGCTTCATTTAGACCCGAGAGGACACGAGTGGGCCTCCAGCCCCATAACCTGCCTGCCCTGGAACCAAGTGGTGGCTGCCCCACACCTCGCCTTGCTGCTCAGCTTCCTCCTCCAGCCCTGGCCACGGCTCCCCTCCGACAGCCGGAGCCTGTAGCATAGCAACAGCCACCTACAGCCGCCTTTCACCACATTTTGGGTGAGCCGGGTGGGGATCTGGGTGCTTTGGGGGACCACAGCACCAGGGCAGAGCTCCCTGCAAGGATCAGACCCTGCATCTCCGTGACTGGGGTCACCAAATCTTCCCCCTACAGCTCCGCGCCTGCTGCACCCACCTCCAAGCAGGGAGGTGGATGTGGCCCTTGGGTATCTCGGGCATCACCACAAGCTCCTCACCGCCTGCTTTGCCTCGGGGCACGGCCCACAGGGAGCATCTGACCATGATAGTTCCCTGATTTTCCCCTGAAAGTGTGAATTAGAGGACAGCGATGGAAAAGGATCAGCAGGTCTCAGACAACTGGATGGAGATCCATCAAAATCGCTTCACTTACCAGCCCGAGCTGGCACAAAACCCGATCAATTTAAGCGGGGCTGATGGAGAGATTCTTGTTTATTTGAACGTATTCCCCCAAATAAATTTCACTAGCCAGCCGAGCGTTGTGTTGCATAAAGAATTCGGTTCATCACACACAAACACTTCTTGGGATGCGAGCCCCCAGCAGCAGGACCCGGCGCAAGCACATGCGCACAGCCCCGGCACCGCGGGGGCCACGGTACAAAGGAACACAAAGCAACAATCAAGAGCAGCAGCGAGTCACGCCGTGCTTTGCATCTTCCCAGCAGCCGAAGAGAAAGGGGCAAGCAGCAGATGAGACGGGCAGCTGTTGTCCTCCATCCCTGCAGTACCTTATCCTCTGATGTGCATCGCTGCCCGCAACCGGATCAGCTCGGGGATTTTTTGCCCTGGCAGTTTAAGCAGCTCCAGACCAGGGCTTTCATGAATATTTAATTTTTTTTCTCTCCAGGTGAATTTTCATGCATTGCCGTGGACAGCACGGTCCAGCAAATTAGGAAAGCAGAGCCAGCTCCTGTTTCCAGGAGCGTGTCAGATTTGCATTCTGACCTCCAATAAATCATTCTCCTGCCCTGTCCCTCAATTTCTTCAACTACAAAGTGCAGTCCTGGGATGAAACACGTCACTCAAACGCCTGACAAAAGCAGAACCTCACTGCTGCTGCCAGACAGCTCCTCTGCTGTCATTACAGATACCCAAATCTCAAGCATAATTTTCTAACTGGTCCTTTTTTAGCAAGGCATTGCCTAAAAAAATCTTTTCCAGCATATTAGCACACAAAGACCAGGAGTTAGATTCAGACTTGGGGGTGGGTGAGTATTTCTATTGGGTTCCCTGTGAGAACAGGCAGAGCAAAGACCTGCAAATTCATCCCAGCTGCGGTCCCAGACAGCTGGAACCGGGGCACCCGGAGAGCCACCGCGTTTAGCAGCATCGGTGCAAAGCCCTGCCTGAACCCAGCTGCCTTGCAGTAAGGATTCTCTATTATTTTATGCTCTTAAAAGAAAATCGAGGTCAGTCTGAAGCACTACACCCGCACCCTTTGTCTCCAGCTGCCCAGCATCACTGGTGCCGTGCCGTGAGAGCTGGGACTTGCCAAAATGTGCTGCCCAAATGCCCAGCGCACTGCAGCCACGTTCTCCTCCAGGGCAGAGGGAATTATCACTTAATTATACCCAACAAATCAGAGGCATTAACGTGTTTTTCCTAAATGGCTACATTAGAATCCAAATGAATGGTAATTGCTTTCCTATCAGAGGAGATGGCAGACGGAGCTGAGCCCCCACCAGGGCCCGCTTTAGTGGCATTTATTACCTCCAACGATTTGTGATTTAGAGACCAGGCTGTGCTGAAAGTGCCAAAGTGATGAGCTGCCCCAACAGGGCAGATCTTGTCGCTGAACCCGGTGCTGCTGCCTGCGGCTGCTCGTGCTCTCTCCCCTGTATCATCTCCCCAGGACTCAGCAGCTTTTATGCTCCAGGTTTGGATTTCCTCGGCTGGGGAGGGCGAGCACCAGGCCCAGCTGGAGCTGAAATCCCCACCCTGCATCCAACAGGCTTTTCTCCAGGGCGATACGCTCCCCTGAGTGTTGCACTGCAACTCTCTGCGTAAGCGCAGGGTGAAAAGGCAGCCTATTTACAGCTCTCCAAATTGAAGGAAGTGCAAAAAGGCCCCGGAGCCACTCCCAAACCTTCTATTTTTAATGCTCATAGGCACCCTCAGACATCACCACACGCCCCCCGTGCCTCACAGGCACATACCCTCCACCCAGGGGGGAACAGACAGAGACCCCCAACCTTACACAGCCCCCAAGCAGACAGGACCCACTATTTACTGATCTGGTGTGAGCCCAACCTGCTCCAAAGAACCTAGAGCCCCTGCACAGCCCCAGGAGCAGCCCTCTGCTGTGCCTGCTCCATTCCTTACCACTCCTCCCCTCCTTTCAGGGATGCCAGAGATCCAGGTGAACACCACAAACGTCCTTGGCATCCTTTTGCGGTCACGCTCGAGTCTCAGCTCCGCTGCCATCAGCACTGACCCCCAATTTCTGCAGCTGGACCCAGCGACCTGTCAAACCCAGGCCCCCTCCACAGCCCGCAGGAGCCGTGCGCCCAGAGCATCACCGCTCCCCGCACCGCCTCCACCTGCCAAACACCCACGTGCTCCTCGCTGTCACCACGAGCAGGTTAAAACAAAGATGCAGACAGGGAAAGCTATCAGAGAGATTGCTCCCCACTGAGAAAAAGCTCTCGTACTCACCCAGCTGCCATGCCAGAAAAGCCCTGGGCAGTCGTGCAGCGTGCCAGCCAGCGTGAGAAAAGGAAGGGGCTGCAAAGCTCGGCTGAAACCAGCCTGTCTGCCAGCCCCCCAGCCCCTGCGGGGATTATTCTCAATGCACGGGGGACTGGCGTCACAGGAGAGGCAGGAACAGGGGCAACAATGAGCTGGAAATAGCACGCGAGCACCGGGAAGGAATCACAGCTCCTGCTCCTCAGCACCACGCAGGAGTCAGCAGCTTCAGCTCAGCGCTGCCTTGGCTGCCTGCACTCTATTAAATAAAGAGCAGGGAGAGATGACACAGCACAGGCTGCGATGAAGACAGCGAGAAGGAGATGATTCAGGGCAGGGAACCCACTCCTGACCCAAGGGATAGTCACGGAGCAAGGCCAGGAGCAGGCAGGAGGGGGTACGGAGGAGGCTGGTGGAGATGCCCTGGAGTTTCCCCAGCTGCCGGGATGGGGACGGGGCAGCTGCCAGCCCTGGTCCCCCCGTGTCCCTGTTCTCCCATCCCCACATCCAGGCTTTGGCAATATTCAGCTGCTTTCCTGCTCCTCAGGCACAGCACCCAAGGCACAGCTCGGGTGAGAACGGAGGGGAAATGCAGCGGGGATTTCCTCGATGCTGTTTCCAGCCACCCTGGAAGACAGCAGGACGCAGAGCAACCCGAACAAAGGCAACGTGGAAAAGTTTCAGATGTGGGAGCAGCACGTAAACCTGGCTGTTAATCACTGTAATTGAAGGGAGCTGCTTTTCCTCTAGAAGCACATAAATGTCACGGTGTAATCGCCCTCTGCATTGGCAGATAAACATCGGCACCGCAGGAGGAGGCCCCATCCCTGCACAGCCTCTGCTGCACAAAATGCCTCCTTGCTCCAGCAAAGACAGGAAACACGACGTTCATGGGGTTGGGTGTCCCAGGAAGCTCCTGGGCCACATTTCCCACTTTCAGCACCCAGACAGGAGCCCTGACCCCCCCGTCCCCTTCCTTTGCTCCTCCACCTGATCACAATCAGGTTCACAGCAGCCCAGCACCCCAAAAACCCTTCCTACAACCACCCAGAGGGCTCAGGACCCACGCAGGCACGGCTCTCATCACGTCCTCACTGGTTATTCACGTCCCTGCACAGGACCAGGGCCTTTGGAAGAGTCCGGCACCTTTGTGTCCCTCCAGCCTGGAAGAAGCCCAAGTTTGCCACCCAAAACCCTCACCCTCCTGCGTGGTCCAGCAGCAACCTGCTCCTTGCTGAGGTCCCCTGCAGTCAGGTGCTGCGTGACCCAGCCTGGTGCCACCCCTGGGTGCCACAGACCCGCACACAGACAGCCTTTCATAAGCTTTGACCGTCCTATTACGGCGCTAGCCCACAAGGTCAGCCGTCACCAAGTCTGGGTTTTCAAGCGACTACAACTTTTAAGCAAAAAAAAATAAAAAAGACTTCTAAAAACACCGCTGCAAACCAAGGACTCCAGGGCTGCCTTTGCTCTTTCCTTGCTCAGACCCTGGCAGCTGAGGTTTTAAACGGAACACGCCTGAAATTTGCAGCCTGGTATTTCTGACCTCTCCTCACACTGAGTCAAGTTTCCTTTCCATAGTAACAGCTACCCAGAAAAATAACAACCTAAAAACCCATCGGGTCCCCGTCTTTGCCAATTACCCAGCCGGCAAAAAAAAAAGAGACTTTAGTTTAGTTTCAAGGAGAGAGCAAAAGCACAGCAATTCTGAACGGGGATTAACGGTACCTTTATGGCCAGCAAAGAAAAAGCAGCAGCACTCAGAGCAGCTCGTTTCATCCCCTCTGGTTCTCAGCATCTCCTTGCAGACAGCCGCGTGCGCTGCTGGAGCTGCGAACAACCTGACCCCCCCCTAGGCTTCACCCCTTCCCCCAGCAGCAATCCCTCGGGATCATTTTCAGCCTCATCATGCCGAATGCAATTTCCTGAGGTCGGTAACAGGAAGGTGGAGAGGTTGTGGAAGGAAATATTCCCCAGCTAACAGCCCAGCGGCTGTAAATCAGGGGGATGGCAGAAGCTTTAGCACGCCATGGGACGGGGAGAGATGTTTCATTTTCTGTCTTGTTAGCAAAGGGAAGGCATGGAGAGCATCCTTTTTTTTTTTTTTTTTTTTTTTTCCTGAGTGGGAAAAAGATACGATTTGTTTGCATTACATTTTATCTGGAGACAGGGAGTTATCATTTCACCAGGAGAAAATAAAATCTGCCAGCTGGCCCTGGGTGTCCTGCTCCCCGCTGAGTCCTGCGTCCCCTCCCCTCGCCCCCCAACGCTGTCACTGCTCTGCAAGAAGAGCTTCTCCTTTCCACGGGTCAAATACCCCAGATCTTTCCCCAGCCCCGCAGTCCCTCCGGTTGTCTGTACATCTCCCGTTACTCTGAATTTAGGCTGCATCCCCCTGGAGGGAATGCCAAGAGCACCCAGCTCTGCCAGCTGCCGCGGCTCCCAGGGCCTGGCCTGGGAAAGAGGCAGAAAATATCCTACTGGGAAAACAAAACAAATAAATGGGGAAAAAAATAAAAAACCAACAGCCTCCTTAAAACCACTTCTTAGGGAGAAAACACAAAATCAAAGCTCCCTTTCTGGTTGCACATGAAAAGCCTGGTTTTGTGCTCGGTGCAATCTGCCCCACGAGCCCCCCAGCAGCAATCCCCCCCCCAAAGATGCTCTACTTACAGCTGGGGACCGCGGTGCTGAGCCCGGCTGCAGCGCGGGGCTCTCCTAAAAACGCTCTCCAACTCCAAGGCAGGGAAGCCCCGATCCTCAGCGCCTCCTCCCGCATGCATCCATCCCTCTCCTCCCCGCAGCCCTCGCTCGCTCAGGGGAAGGAGGACGCCGGCAGGAGCCGGGGGGGCTGCGTGGGAGGGCGGCGAGGAAAGCAGCAGAAATCCCTCGGCCCTACTCGCCTGCCTCCAGGAGACGCAGGACGAGCGGAGCCAGAGTTTTCCCCATCTGGTGCGGCGGCCGGGATCTTCCTCGGTGTCTGCAGCTGGGGGTGTGCGTGCGTGCGTGTGTACACACTGGATTACCAGCCCCATACTTAAGCCTTTTATGGCTCCCCACGCTCGCAGCCTTGTTACAGGATGTTCTGTAACAGCGGCTCCCCCCCTGCCCGCCCTCCGCTGCTGCGATGACAAAACTACCAGAAACTGGAGGGAACGGGGAAAAAAGAGGCAAGAAGGGAGCAGTGGAAGCGCTGCAGAGGTCCCAGGTTGAACCTGCCCCTGGGGGGCTGCCCCCAAGTCCCCTGCTCCAGGCTGCTGGGCTGGGGACGTGGTGTTGGGGGACCCGGTGCTGCTGCTCGGGGTTGGGGAGCTGAGCCCCTGCTGAGCCCCTGCCATGGGCAGAGCTTCTGCTCACCAAATTAAGGCTCAAGGTGTCCAGAAATGAGAACGCTGCAAGATGGGATAAGGACATTGGGACCTTCGGGCCCTAGCCCTCTCCAAAGCAGAGGTTTCCCAGCCTGATGACATCCAGGGCTTTTCTTTCCCTGACCTGCCTCTTTATTCTTTTCCCGAAGGTGATGCAGAATAACTTCAAGTCCAGAAAAAACATCTCTGAGCAAAAGATAAATATCCTTTCAACGCATCTTCCAGCAAGCCTTAAAGCTCCTTCCCAGAGGGGCATTCGCAGCTCAGCCCAGCAGATGCTCCCGAGCCTTCAGGACCCTCCGTCAGCTCTGCAAGCCCTCGACATCTTCGGCCTTCAGACGGTGCTGACTGCCCAAGCCCACCCTGCAGAGCTGGAAGGGTCCCAGGTGGTCATTTTGGAGGGGCTTGCTCCTTGTCATGGGGGTGACAGTCCCCAGAGGCTCCAGGTTCAGCTCTGGCCTGCAAACCCCTCGGTGCTGCCCCAAGGCCAGCCTGCAGCGAGGCAGCCAAGGTTTGCTCCCGCTGATAGCTCGTGCTGGTCCAGATAAGAAACTATTTTAAAGCAGCTCCAGCCATAAAATAAGAGAAATGAGGAAATCAACAAGAAGTTGAGTCAAACGACTACATAAAAGCAAATTCTCATCCCCTACCAGCTATTTTAATCTCCCGTTAGCTTTCCGATGGGAGGATTCAATTTACATTTAAATAAAAACCTCAAGCACGGGGCCCATCTAACACGAAGATGTTCATTACAAAGGCATTTACCTCTTCAGAAATTTTAAAAGACCTCATTGAAGTGGATTTTAACAGGGGGGCTGTTAGCAGTCTGGCATTATTGGACAGTTAGTATTTGTAACTTGTTATTATTATTTACCAGACTGTTCACAGATCAGGCCAGGCAGCTCTGAGCGAAGGTCTCCAGCGGGTTTCCAAGCTGCCCTAATAACAGCCAGAGGTAAGAGCCAGCACAAAAGGTCTTCTCGAGCCACCAAAAACCTGCCTGCAGAACATTTCACAGCTGTTAGGAGGCGTACGGAAGGAAAGGAGAGGCCCCAGGTTGCCGGCTGAACCGAGTAAATGGAAAGGGCAAATGGAAACCAAAGCTTGCGTTTTGCTTAAAACTACTCTGAGTTTTGTTAGGGGAAAAAAAAAACAAACAAAAAAAACCCACCTTCTCATCCACCCCGTGTGCTCTCAGCAGCAAAGATGAGCAGGGCCTTTCTGTCTGTGCACTACTGAGCAAATGAGGTCCCGACCCAGGGCTGGCAGTCCAAGCCCCGTGTCACCAGCCAGCTTTTGCTTATTATTTTTTTTTTCTCCTTCCCCAGCGACAATTCAGTTAATACAGGCATTTCCACAAAGTGAATGTTTTTATTTTGAAACGCACGGTGCAAGCTGGCAAGATGCTAACTTATAAAGGCTTAGGTGCAGTCACGAGTAGTGCAAGTCTCAAACTTGCCACCAGGAGAAAGCCTTCCCATGTGGAAAAGGCATTTTCAGAAGGACACGAAAATAACTAGAAAGTAATTCCAGCCAGGAGCAGCACCCAGGGGCTGGGCTCAGCACCATGCGGGGAGCAGCAGGCAGCTGGTCCCAGGGCACAGCTGAGCAGGGAAGATGCAGCGAGGGCTGCAGCTGCCCCTCGCAGCCACACCATGCACCACTCACCCTCTTCATGCTGAGGGCAGACCAGGCTTTACAAACCCCTCTGAAACAGAACAGCAGCCTGGTTTCTCAAACCATTTGGGAGCTCCTGCTTTAGGGGCTGGGGTTGAGAGCCTTGGCTCAGGACACGAGGATTTATCCCAAGTGGGATTTTTATTTGTTGGTGTTTTGTTTTACATGGCTGTTTGATCTCGAGCCCTTCATCTCCTTTTCATTTTCCTCCCTGCTTCCCACGTCCCGTTCCTCCTGTTTTTCAGTGTCATGGGGGGCTGCCCCATCCCCTTGCAGGGCATCCCACGGGTGAGGCTCTCGGGTTTTTGCAGCGAGGTGAGCGACTGCAGGGGGACAGGGAGGGTTCAGCCAGGCAGCCCTGACCCTCCCCAGCCTCCCAGTCCTACATACGTAACGCTAACAACTTATTAATTCAAATACCCTTTCATCTTCATAAGCATCTCATTCCCCAAGTTAAAAACAAAACAAAGTAAACCCCACAGCCCCCTCAGTGACCTTTCACTTGCCACGGTTGGGTCTGAGATCGATCCAGGCAGGCTTACCTGCCCGCTGCCAGCGCTCTGCACCACAGCAGCACCTGCAAAAGGCAAGAGAAAGGAGATGAGAGATGAAGGCAGGGCAAGAAGGCGGGTTTAAACTGGACAAATTCATTGAGGCAGGAGCAGCAGCATGGCCACGAAGCCCCAGATGCTCGGTCCCCGGCTGCTGCCTTGCCTGGTGGATGAGCCAGACCTGACAGGCTGGAAAATAAGCGTCTGTAGGATGGAGCCTGCGTGCCGTGCCACACCACCCCAGCCTCCCCACAAAGGCAGGGCTTCGCCCAGCAGATGCTTTCTGAACGGTGAAAATTGCACAGCTTTGTGCCCCTCGGGATACCTCGAGGAACCCATAGGGTGGGGGCAGCCCAGGGAAACTCCAGATTCACGCTGCAGAAAGGGAGAGGTAACTTTACCAGGTTGCTTGGGAAATTATAAAGGTGGTGTCGGTGGTAAAGGAAGAGAAATAGTGCTGGAAACCTGTAGCAGTTTCCTCCAATTCAACATCTGTTTCCATGGGAACCGCAGGAGAGTTGCTGGAATTCCTGTAAGTTACACAAATGAGCCAAACAGCAACATTTTATTTCCTTTTTTTCTTACCTGCATCGCTTTGGGTTGAGCCAGCTCAGTCCAACGAGCGCTCCTGCCAGGACCACTTCCCATCAGGTCTGGGAAAGGCGTGTTCAGCTGCAGCAAGCAGGCCAGGAGATGAAAAATAAAAAAAAAAAAAGGAAAAACACAGCCAAAAAGCACTGCCCCCAAAACCAGAAAAGCCTTCTTTCAGAAGAAACCAGAATTATGGAGATGAAGGGGAAAAAAACAAGCAACAGGGCCAGGACTTGCCCATGCGCATCTGGGTGCCAGCAGTGGCTGCAGCCCCCGGAGCAAACGGTGGGGGGCAATGCAGGGGGACTGTCATTTCTTCTGGAGATTTGGCAACCTGACAGTTAATTAACTAGTTAATTAATTAATTCTCCCTCCTGCAGGGCCCTGGGCTGGTTACAGTGCAGATAGTCACCTTAATGCACGGAGACAGGAGCTGAGAGCTTCGGGATCTCTCAATCAGAATATTTAACCCACGGGGAGAAGTCCACCAGCTGTGTCTGCCCAGCTGACAAACGCAGAGAGACATCATTTCAGCAGAGACAGGCACTTTGAAAAGACAGTTGCTGGGAAAAAAAACCCTACACCCAGTAACCTTCAAGATTAGCTACAGTTAGCAGGATTGCAGCAGCAGCACGGAAAGGCTTTGAGCTGTTTAACCGGTGAGGCTGCGTGCATCTGGGTTTGCATGTGTTTTATGAAAAAAAAAATGCAAGTTCGTGTTTATTTACAACTGGAAAAAAATAATGGTTTGTTTCTAGGGAGAGGGTTTATGTGAGACATAGCAGGGAATAGCTGGTCTCCATGAATGGTTACCAGAACGGTGGAATAAAGCAATGGTTTGCTGGTATCACCAGCTGCATCTCTTCTGTATTCACTAAGGGATCGTCTGTTAGAGTGGGAGATCACACCCGCCTTCCTGAGCAGCCCAGCAAGAGTCAATGTATTCAAGTGCAGGGCACGGAAACGTGCCTTGGGTCTTTTGCAAAACGCATCTAGCTCGGAGAAAGAGCTGAATGCCTAAGCAAGAAAAGGGACTTTGGACTGCGGGGTTTTGTTCTCTACTCTTCAAAAGAAGGAGGGGTTAATCATTCATGGACCAGGCAACGATAAGAGACAAGAGCAGAATGTTTAAAGAAAGGATTTGTAAGGGGTGTGTGGGTAAAAAATGCAAAATTCTGGTTTGTTTCAACAGAAATACTATTTTAATAGATTTTGGTGAATTAATTCCTACTCTGACCTCAACATTTTCATTTAAATTGAAGATAATCTTTTTCTTTTGTTTGGATGGTTCTGGTGGGGTCTAAATGTGTAAGTATTTTGTGCTGTCAAAAGAAAAAGAGCAGTTTCAAACTGAAATGCTTTCAGAAGCCAAGGTGCTTTGTTCCAAAGGTTGCCACAATGAAACACTTCCACGTCTCAGAACCTGCCTTCCTCCTTCTGTTATGCTGATCCCCAAAGCTAAATTTATGGGCAAATGCATTAATCTCTAACAATGTATTTTTACCCAATTCTCACTAGTGAGAATTTCTTTTCTTGGCTCTGACACCTGATGCTTTTGTGACAAGCCAGCAAAACCCCGCGTGTGTCCTTCTGCAGGAATTTGGTCCCGGCTTGGCCGGACCACGACTGCTTGGCAAACACCTCTGACAGGCATCTCCCTTGTGTGCTCCTTATAAGTTGGCTTTAAAATTGGTTCTCCACCTGCAATATCTTGGGCACATATGCACGTAGCTAAAGCCCAGGGCAGCAGTGAGCGGACTCCGAGCTTCTTACGTGGCTGTGGCAGCAGAGAAAAGCTGTCCCCAGGCAGAGCAAGGCAAACACTGGAGGAAGAAGATTCTCA